TGATTTTCATGTACGGTGTGTCTGTTTCATTATTGGGAGGATGTCACCGTTCAGTTATGATTTTTAAAATCGCATGAACCTAGAACCTAACCCAGAGCTTACTTACTGTGCACTGACATTTTCCATGAGGTCTTTGCATGGATGTTCTCTTATGCATGAAGTGGTAAATGCACATCGTTTTTAAACACACAAACACCTGAGTATGTCCCCAGTGTCCTCTCCAATTCTTCTTCTTTTGCTGTAAAGAGATCACAATAACAGCTCAAAACTGTCTTGGTGACTTTTACAGTGAAATAGACAAATGGACCAGCCCCTTGGGAGCCCCCTATAACCCTGGATGCTTTGCACATCAGCCGCCAGGAAATTCCATCGCTTAGTGTAACGGTTCGGTATACATCCAACTCCCGAACTTTCCAGTCCTTGCACATCAAACGTAGCGCGCGCCAACATGGAAAATCCGTCTTTCCAGCTGGTGGGCTGAACTCTCTAAATCTATGCACATAAATACAGGGTCAGAGAAACTCCGATGGCCACAGAGGGGGAGGGGCGGGCAAGAGACGCTGATGTTAGCACAGTGAGTGTTATGTTTAGCTGTTGTGATATTTTGTCCTCCCTTATTTATTTAAATTGATGAAAAAACTAGCCCTTCAACAGAAGCAAGTGAAACTATTCTAAAGCACGTGAAGAACGCAGAACTGAGCATTCGGTAAGGAAGGGACAGAGCTACGTGCTTTCCCAGGTCCCAGATGCGTAGCTGTTCCTTGCTGGCCAGCTCTTCTGAATGATCATTAATGGCTGCAAGTGAGACCAGCTCCTAATAGTTTATCAAACTTGGTGCCGCGCAGATTTCTTGACGAGTGTGATCGAGGGGAAACCGGCACCACCTGGTTTCTGGTGAGGAGCGTGGCTTTCTTGTGAGGCCATGAAATACTCCCATTCTTATTTCAAAATCTGAAGAAACAATTGTGTCTTTTACAAGGAAAAGTCTTTTCTTTGGGCGGAACTGCTCAGTGTTTCTTACACTGGGATATGAATGATGTCGTTTTTCACTTTCTGCGCCATGAAAATTATGCCACGGTTCAGTAATTTTTTCCATAAAGGTCTAAATTAAGATCTTGCTTTTTATTTTGTCTCCACCTTAATTTTATTCAAAATATTAATAGATTTTCACCAAAAAAAAAATTTTTAAATCAAAGGTATAGAAACAGGTGATGATATAACATGAAGGAAAAGAGGAGATAGAGGAATGGGTACTTTTATGTAGGTTGTGTTGCTAAAGAGAATCGCCCCCTCGCACCTCGCTTTATGAGCAGATTCCCATGACCTTGCTTACGAAAATTCTTATTTATAATTCTCATCAAAACAGGAGGATTTTGAATTCTAGGTTTCCAACTCTCTCCCCTTACCCGTTTGCAAGTGGACGTGGCCATCGCTGGCTGAGAATTGTAATTGTGAGGCTGTGAGGTTCGCTGTACTCACCCCCCTCCCCTTCCCCAGGGCATTTTGAACTGGCACCAGTTCCTGGAAGGCCCGGATGGCGTGGAAAACTCGAGGTTCGGCTCCGCGATCGCCGCCCTCTCGGACATCAACATGGACGGCTTCAATGACGTGATCGTCGGGTCGCCCCTGGAGCATCAGAACGCGGGAGCCGTGTACATCTACAACGGCCACGGCCGCACCGTCCGCACCAGGTTCTCCCAGGTAATGCGGGCGGCCAAGGTGAAGTGTGCACAGGGGGCATCACCGTGCCCGGCTGGGGAGGAGCACGGGGACCATCCACGCCGCCTTCTCCTCTCGGAACTATTCACTCACTCAGTAAACATGTAGGGAGCGGCTAAGTGTGCCAGGGCTGTCCTGTGCGGGGATGTCGCGAAGGAAGGACAGACAAAGCTCTGCTCTTCACAGAGGGGGCAGAGGAAAGATAAGATAAATATGATAGTGTTCCAGGTCGTAGTCAATGACAAGGAGTTTTTTAATGAAATGGGAATGGATTTTCAGGGATAAGGGTGACCCGGGAGGCCTCGCTGGGAAGGCAGCTTTGAGTAGAGCAGTGGTCGGCAAACTCATTAGTGAACAGAGCCAAATATCAACAGGACAACCATTGAAATTTCTTTTGAGAGCCAAATTTTTTAAACTTAAACTGTACAGGTAGGTACATTGTTATTAACTTAATTAGGGTCCTCCTAAGCTGGCCTTTGCTAAAAACGTCCTCAATCTGATTGAGGTACGTTCGCTGGGGTCGACCCCTTCCAACTCTCCCATCCACACTTGTCTTGTATACTTGTTTCGTCTACCTCCTTTCGTTCATCCTCTCTATATGTCCAAACCATCTCAACATACCTTTCTCAATCCTCAACACTACATCTTCTTTCACTCCACAACGTTCCCTAAAATTAACTTAATAAACTTTACTTAAAGTTTTAAGTCAACTTTGCACTGTACGTGTGCCCGCACGTGGTATTTTGTGGAAGAGCCACACTCAAGGGGCCAAGGAGCTGCATGTGGCTTGCGAGTCGCGGTTTGCCGGCCACTGGAGGTGAGGGAGGATGGGAATTGGGACCTGAACTTGCGTCAGCTCCTGCCCAGGCCACCGGTCCTTCACTGCTTCATGCTGGTTTGTGGTTTTATGGGAAAAGATTCATGCTGTTTCTCTGATGAAAGTGTGGCTGCAAGAAGGATAAAACAGTCAGATGAGAGGAGTTGAAAGTCAGTGGTGTTTTATGGAGAATAAGGCAACCTGGGAAGAGGCCGTGTGGAGAATATGACAGTGCCTCGTAGAAGGTGCCTTTTTCCGTTTCAGTTGTCGTGCCCTATAATCGCATGTCCAACGTGCCCTTTCAGAAAATCCTGGGATCCGACCGGGCCTTCCGGAGCCGGCTCCAGTACTTCGGGAGGTCCTTGGACGGCTATGGAGACCTAAATGGGGATTCCATCACCGATGTGTCCGTTGGTGCCTTTGGACAAGTTGTTCAGCTCTGGTGAGTGAGTGAGGCAGCCACAGAGCAGCTAATAAAGCAGGGCCAGTGCGGTTGGGCATATTGCTCTGCGGGGCCTGCAGAAGGGGCACATGCTGGTCCAGATCTCCCTGCTGGTCCTCAGAAGGGCCTCGTGCTGGTCCAGATCTCCCTGCTGGTCCTCAAAAGGGCCACGTGCTGGACTAGATCTCCCTGCTGGTCCTCAGAAGGGCCACGTGCTCTGGTCTAGATCTCCCTGCTGGTCCTCAGAAGGGCCTCGTGCATTATCTAAGACTCCAGGGCACTGGTTTTTGTAAAGGAAGGACTGCCTTCCCTGGTGGGAGAAAAAACATTTGCTTCCCATTAGAATCCAGCGTCTCTTCTCTGTGGCGAGAAGGGCGTGGGAATGGTCGCCAGGGTGTTGGGGAAGATTGCCTCCAAGGGGCCCTTGCTGGCTCCCAGCAGGAAGCTTCATGAGATGCCCTAACCAGACTAAGCGCCCGGACCGCACTGCAGTCCGCGTGCGGTTAAGGGGCACCGCTTAGAACCATCCGTCATGAACAGGAAGCCATTGTGTCGGTTTAGTGGCCCCTCGTTGAACCAGTGGGAGCTGAAGAGCAGGAACAATAAGGGATTCAAGCGCCATGCGGTTCAAGGACAAAAATAAATGTATGGGGCTGGTGAGGGAATGGAACCAGAGAGAAATGGAGAATTTCATCAGGAGTTCCCAAGAAGATACAGTTCAGCCATTCATTCACTTGTTTCTGTTGGGAATTGTGCTTTAAATGTCCAAATGCGTCAGGAACAGAAAAGCTACACATTGGCGTTGTGCTGTTTCTGAGTTTAATGACACTATTTACAGTATCTCACTCGTGCTTTCAAAAAACAAAATGCAGTGTCTTCATGAAATCTTTATATGGAAAAATAAGACTGAAGGATCACATTTAAGACGTTAAAAATAAGAAAATATATTTACTGAATAAAACCAGTTAAAACCAGTTACGAGTAACATACCATTGGAAAAATACAAGGTGTGATAACATAATTATATGACTAATTTTTTAAAATATATTTTTATTGATTTCAGAGAGGAAGGGAGAGGGAGAGAGAAACATCAATGATGAGAGAGAATCATCGATTGGCTGCCTCCTGCACACTCCCCACCGGGGACCGATCCCGCAACCCAGGCATGTACCCAGACCAGGAATTGAACCATGACCTCCTGGCTCATAGGTTGACACCCAACCACTGAGCCACACCGGCTGGGCTATAGGACTGATTTTTTCCCCAATATTTCTTTAATTGATTTCATAGTGGAAGGGAGAGGGAGAGAGAGATAGAAACATCAATGATGAGAGAGAATCACTGTACACCCCCTACTGGGGATTGAGCCCGAAACCCGGGCATGTGTCCTTGACCAGAATCGAACCCCGGACCTTTCAGTCTGCAGGCTGACTCTCTATCCACTGAGCCAAACCAGCTAGGACTATATGACTGATTTTTAAACAGTAAGCAATTACACCTCAGTGAACTTGACCGTGCCCTTCTTGGCGGGCAGCGTCCCTGATGGGCTATATCCTTGCTCTGCTATGACACTCCCTTTAGTGTCGTCAGTGATGGCCAAACGTTTTCCTTGGAAGGTGAATTGATTCTTCAAAACAGTCGAGACACATGAAATCAATTATTGACATTCAGCCAGAGTAGGTTAGTGCCATTTTTCCATTAAGCGCCGAGACTGGCTTTTCTGGGCGACTTCCTGAGAATAAGTTTCAGAAACCAAGTTTCCAGAATCTCTGAAATCAGTGCCCTCTCTCCTGGGAGAAATGCTCAGCTTCTCCAGCAGACGGACTCACAGAAAACCCGCTCCTAGGCCGCGTGGGCCCTGAGGTCCGTGGCCGCGCTGCCTCTGCTACGAGGCCTTCTGTGCCTGCTTCTCAGGGGCCTGGGACAGGCATGATTCATGATCGACGCACCTTCCAATGGACTCAAGTCCTGAAATGGAAAGAACATGTTTTCTGTATCTTCTTGTAGTACTTTTAGGAACAGGGAATTTTTAAAAATATATTTTATTGATTTTTTACAGAGAGGAAGAGAGAGGGATAGAGTTAGAAACATCGATGAGAGAGAAACATAGATCAGCTGCCTCCTGCATACCCCCCACTGGGGATGTGCCTGCAACCAAGGTACATGCCCCTGACTGGAATCGAACCTGGGACCCTTGAGTCTGCAGGCCGACGCTCTATCCACTGAGCCAAACCCGGTCAGGGCAACAGGGAATTTTTTGGTTTCTACTGGCTGCTTTGTCAATAGTCAAGGTGTGCCCAAGGGGTCACATGATGACCTACAAATTCCACTGCCCAGGGCTGAGGAGACCAGGGGTTCTAATTGCTCCCCTGCTATTGTTTCTCACTAACTGACTCAGCACACTGGCCAGTTTCCAGCCTCCTCGTGCCTCAGACGTCTTCACCGTAAGTGGAGATGGTATGTGTCCCACCCACGTCACAGGAGAGGCGCAGAAGCAACGAGGCGGTGTGTGTGGGAAAGGCCCTCAGACGCCCAAGGGCAGAGGCTGAGCCTGCAGCCCCTGCCTGAGGTGGCCTCCTCCCAGCTCCCGGCATCAGGCTAATTGCCAGCATCGTGGTCACATGCCATGCTGTCAGGATCGCTGCCAGTCACCGAGGCAACAGGAAACCGCCACAAGCACACGCCTCCGCCCTGTCTCCCCCCCTGCTACCCCGTCCCCTATCTTTATGAGAAAAATGAATGTCACTGTGTCCAGCTGGACAGGACCGTGTGCCCCTCGGCAGAGAGCCTGCAGACTCGGGCCCGTGCTCACGCGTGCACTCATTAAACCAACACTGTTAAAGGTGACTGTGCTGGTGCCACGGTCACAAACAGGATACATCGTCCCCGCGCCAGCTCAGCTTTCCATCTGAGCGCTGCCAGGTGCCAGATGGAGCGGGAAGGCGGGGGGGGTGACTGGACCCTGTGAAGTCAGCACACCTGTACTTGGCGGTCTGTCCATCTGTCTGTCCCCACTGTGTCTTCCAGGTCGCAGAGCATTGCTGATGTGTCTGTAGACGCTTCGTTCACACCAGAAAAAATCATCTTGTCCAACAAGAATGCGGAGATCCGCCTCAAGCTCTGCCTGTGGGCGAAGTTCCGGCCCGCCACGCCAAGAAGCCGCGTGGGTGAGTGGGGCTGCGATCGTGTGAACGGAGCGGGGTGTGCTCCCAGGGCGCCCGTCCTGAGCGTGACTCAGACTTAGAGTTTGTGGACCCACGGAAATCCGGGTTAACGTGCAGACATTTCACTTGCCATACGGTGAGGTGCTGGGGATGGGTGCCTAGGCGGGAAGCGTGGTGTAGGGCTTCCTTCATCATGTCTGGAAGGTGACCCGGGGCTGTAATCTCTATGACACGATCGCAGGCTCTCCCCACTTTCTCCTCCGAGTGTCTCCTGCCCGGGTCCCCCATCAACCTCGGCTCCCACAGTCACCCCGGGCACCTCCCGCAGGAACTGAGGGCTCTGCACATCAGCCAGGCCACAATCTGTTCAGTACTAGAACCAAGTGTGATTCCTGCTCTTGAGGAATTAATAAGCACGAAATCATGAGAAGATACAAAAGAATGTATTGTTTATGCCCGTGTTTTCAATTTGCAAAGTAATGCAGACAAGTGGGTACGAGTCTGAGATGTGTCCTACCAGCAGGAGACGGTGGGTGAAACCCTGGGCACATGCCAGCAGGAATTGTCACCGTCTTTCCTGGACGGGCCGGGTCACCTTCCAGGGCCGGGCCAAGGTCCACATCCTCTCGCTCGTGTTTTCCACCCACCGCGTCTCCCCTCATCTCCCCGGCCGCAGCGGCTCAGCAGCTGGTCTCGCCCTCGGTTCAGTGACTTCCTTCATGTGCTGCTGTTCCAGTGTTTGGCCCTAAACGTTAGAAACCAGTCGTTCCTGAAGTGTAAACAGATAGACTAACGTCATCAGACAGCTTGGTTTGAATTCGAAGGCCGCTGTTCATGGCGGCATGACTTTAGGCAACTTGTTAAACCTCTGTGAACCTCCGTTTCCTCATCTGCAGAGCAGATAACAATACCCACCTGGGGAAAAGGAAAGGAAAACCAGTGTGACAAAAGCTGAGGCCAATAGCCAATGTCTAACTATCGGAACCTTCAACTACGTCTGCTGCCCGCCTGGCCACAATCGAGAGAGATGAGACTACTCATAGCACCAACTGCCTTATCTGGGGTTGCTCCTCCTCATTGCGTTACTTTCAATATTTTAAAAGTTGACTTGACTTCCAAAAACATTCGTTATACAGCTTACCTTTAAAATATCTATTAGAAATGTTGTATAACTTTTCTTGCTCCATTGACATCAGGAGGTTAACAAAGATGGATAAAATGTAAGAGGATCAGTGAACTAAAAAGAAGTGGTAAAAATAATGCAAAGGAAAAGCAGTGTCCAGCTGCGGGCACTCAATAACTGGGTCTTTCCTTTTCGCATCGTCGTGTTACGAATGATGTTTGGAAACCAAAGTGTGAGGGAGTAAATTGGCCAACCCCACTCAGAGGTTCCCCGGGGACACGCCCACTTTCCTTCCCCTGCGTCCAGCCACGGTCACACACATCCCACCAGGGCTAGCGTCACGGCTGCCCTGGGCCGTCCATGGCTCACAGCCCATCAACGTATAAGCCGCTTTCACATTTCCTCGAAGTCAGAGACTCCACCCAGTAAGACACAATAAGACAGGGTTGCTTTTTCCTTTGAAGGTTTTTTGTCGTAACATTTTTATGGTTTTTATCACAGCCATTACCTATAACATCACCATCGACGCGGACCTGTACTCGTCCCGCGTGACCTCCAGGGGGCTGTTTAAGGAGAACAGCGACCGGTACCTGCAGAAGGACGCCATCGTCGGGCCAGGACAGACTTGCTCTGAGTTCGCCATCCACATACAGGTGAGGGTCCCCTCCGCCCCTCCCTCCCTGGGGCCTAGTAAACGGAGAAAATCCAAAAGGGAGACTTAGGAGCCAGAAAACGCTCGCCTGCCAACGCACGCTTTTCTTTTCTGGGAACGGGACGCCTGTCTCCTTCGCTAACGCGTACGACCACGGGCCGTTCCTCAGTTAGGGGCTACATTTTATTTGGGGTTGCAGTTAATGGGGCTAAATAGAAAACCCTCAAAGACGCCGGGGACAGAGTGCTTTATAAGACGGTCAACAGGGAGAACGCAAAGTTGACAGGAAATTTACGTGGACATTTTCCTCTCGGGAAAGTTGTGTTCCTTTTTTTTTTTTTTTTAAAGTCACTGGCTTTTTAAAAAATTATTATTGATTTTTTACAGAGAGGAAGGGAGTAGGATAGAGAGTTAGAAACATCGGTGAGAGAGAAACATCGATCAGCCGCCTCCTGCACACCCCCTACTGGGGATGTGCCTGCAACCAAGGTACATGCCCTTGACCGGAATCGAACCCGGGACCCTTCAGTCCACAGGCCGATGCTCTATCCACTGAGCCAAACCGGTCAGGGCAGTTGCGTTCCTTTTTAAGGAGCCGAAGAGAACCATCGCACTTGGGTTTTTCGCTGGTGGGTGAAGTTCACGGGGGTGAAGGATAATAGGGCATCAGGGCAAAAGGATGAGCTCTGCTCTCAAGCCACAGTGACTCCCGACCAAATGGAGTTTGAAGGTCTCCCAAGGAGGAAATGTGCTTCTCCGAGAAAACTCCCAGCAGGAACTTTGTTTTATTAATTACAGGGCTCTTTCCCCGTAGAAACCACATCATGGAATTTGAGAGTGTACTTTCCTCAGGACGCTGTTAAGAACTTTTCTGGAAATGTGGTTCCCGGGGTGTAAGAGGCATCGGGGTTGCCCAGGGAACTGTTCCGGAACGCGTGTCTGGGTGCTCACCGCCAGCCTCGGGGGGTTGCGGGTCCAGGGCACACGCAGGGCGAAGGGGCCCAGGTACTCCTGGTGCAGCCGGTGATGCAGAGACCACGTCTTGGGAAAGGCCACGTGTAGACCCTGAAAAGCATACAACGGATGCTCGGATGCATGCACATGGGTTGTTTGTTGTTCAAGTTGAAGGTTAGTATTCGCCAAGGCCAGGCCTTTTGTTGGTGAGGGGCCAACTGTACCGCCCATTTAGGGAATGACAGCTGGGACCACATAATGAGCTGAATGGCGGGTCACACTGAACACGTGGGCCCATGGGGGGGGGGGGCGGGGAGGCGGCCAGGCTGTTGGGTGGAAATCCCGGTGGGTTCCCCGTGCACTGGGGGGCTCGGGAGGGCGGGGTGGGTCCTCAGCGGGAGAAGATGTGCAGGTAAGTCCTCATCGTCCGCGCCAGGGCCAAGCCTGAACGGGCGCGAGGACGGGCGGGAACGGGAATGGGTAAAGGGAGGAGGGCCCGAGGGAGGGGGACCCGCGGTGAAAGTCACGCATTTTGTCCGTTGGTCTGTCGTGGGGGGGGGGGAGGGGGGG